CCGCGCGGCCTCCGTCACGTGACACGGGGCGCCCGGCTCCGAGGCACGTGACAACGGCAAGGAAATTATTTCCGTGTTTTTTTTTAATTATTATTTGTATATCTGGGGCTCACCGATGAAAAAGAGGGAGAGAAAAAAAAGTATAGGATTTTTTTTCAATTTAAAAGAATAAAAAACAACCCAAAGGAGACATTGATCTTTGTCCCGCCTACGGGTGACCTCACTTCCGAGCAGCTTCCCCGTTGGGAAGCGCCAGAGGGGGCGTGGCTAAGGGAGCGCTCCCCCTGGTGGTGGAAAGGCGGAGAGGCGCTTGCCGCCCTCCCTGCCGGTTCGTGGGAAAAAAAATAGGTTCGTCACGTGATTCTTCTTCTTACCTGAGACTGGAGTCACGTGGCAAAGGAAAGCTGCTTGGGAGAATAAGTGGAAGGTTATATTGGAAGTACTGTATATGTGAATTTCGTTGCATGGATATACTGTGTATATACTTACAATGAATATATGAAAGTTTCATTTAAAAAAAATAAATAAAATCTTCCGGATTTATAATGCTACCTCAAACCAGGCTCTCCAAATAGTCATGAAAGTTTCATTAAAAAAAAATCCTCCGGGTTTATAATACTACCTCAAACCAGGCTCTCCAAATAGTCAATACTTGCACATTGAAACTTCTTTTTTTGTTGCGCAACTTCTACCTTTCTTAAAAGTTGATTTCCAAAAGTTTGGTTCGCCATCCAAAATCATACCATAAATTGTGCCACACAATATTTTTGGGGGGGCTTGAGGGTCTCTTCTAAAGGGCGCGCTTCTAGATGCTTCCAAGCGTTTCAATTCGTTTTCTAACACTGATCATGCTTGTTCTTTGGATAGCTTTACAGTATTTTATTTCCAGAGACAGGGTACTATTATATCCATTTTACAGATGGGAGGCAAGCATGGAAGGGAGTGAGAAAGAAGCCAGGGTCCAAGACCACCTAAGCTAAAGGAACTCAGAAAAGTGAACTCGAAACCAACTACAGTATTTGAAAACGCTGATTTCAAAATAATCTAGTTCCACTGCTCGGCTTAATTCTATGAGCCTCTTTGTGTCCCCCTAGATTTAGATCTACATGATCTGGTTCGAGAAGGGCTTTAGGATCCTGCTGGCTTCATTATCCTTTAGGTACTGACCTCTGGGGCCACATAATCTGGTGTGTGGTATTTTACCCCTCTATTTGCATAAAAGACATATAAGTCTGGGCCACCTCTCTCTCCCTCACTCAGAATTAAGTGAACACAATAACCTTTTGTGAGCTGATCATCATATTTCATTTTCCAGATGATGATCCAGTCCAGTTAGGGGAGTCCTGCCACTCCCATCCATGTGGCTCCATTTGCCACGGACACTTTAGGGTTTAGCACAAGCAGTCTTAGGGTGCTCTTTGTCGTAAAAGGCAGTACTGTATCTTACAATTATCAGAATAGGAGTGGCCCCAGTTCTTTTTTCAACCTAAAAGACACAGCACAAAAGGAAAAGCGTCTAGGAGGGCAGAGGAAAAAGGCCGTCCTTCCTTCTCATGGGTTCAGCAGTGGCAATCTGTAGGTACAGAGAGATAGAGGTTCATAGCTGTAGAGAGAAGGAGTCTTGCCAGAACATGGACATTTTACTTTTTAAAAAAATTCCCATCATTTTCCAAGCAGCATAACCCAAACCCTGGTTCTCACAATAGTTCACAATCTGGAAACTACTAATGATGTCTGCACAGTGGAATATAACGGAGATAATGTCTCCCACCACCCACCACCCCCACCGTTGTCTGATTATTTGCCCGGAAACTTTGATACTTGGGGATTATATTTCATTTGTACAAAAAAAGGATCTATTTCAGTAGCCTAATGAACAGGTCTAACTTAACAGATGTTAAGTTATAATTGTGTTCGGCATTCACATAGTAGCCTGATTACAAGTGTTCAGAGTATTTCAAGTGGAGCCCATTTCTATTCTCAAGTGGGATCCAGACCATTTTCGGGCATTCTGCGTCTGAACATCTCCCACAGTGTGCAACGTATCCTGCAGGGGGCAGTAGCATTCCATGCCATAGTGGGAGGGGGGCATTTTCTTGAGCAGGGTGGGAAATTTCATTGAGTTTCCTTTATTAAAAAATAAGAAAGATCCAAAATGTGAATATTTTTTTCCTAATATCTAGAAGAAAACCTGAGTTTATTTTTCAACAGAACGTGAGAAGAATGGAAACAGATCAATTCACCAGGCAGAAATTTGTAAATCAAAAATGTAGCTTTTCCAGGGTGTCCTGGAATATGCATTCATCCTAAAAACCAGAGAGACCCTTAAACATGGCATACCTTCAGGATTTGAATATATCTTAATCTGTCCCAGCCAGCCCTCCTGTGCATGATTGAATGCTAGGAAATGCCAGCTATGACTTCTCACATTGAATAATGGAGTTGGAAGGGGTTTCTAAGGCCTTCCCGAGTCCAAACCCTGGTCAAGGCAGGAATTCAAGTCAGAGCAGATCTGACAAGGTTGTCCAATTTCCTCTTGAATGCCTCCAGCCCGTTGGAGCGCTCACCACCTCCCGAGGTCATTGTTTCCATTGTCGTACCGCTCTAACAGTTAAGAAGTTTTTCCTGATAATTCAGCCGAAATCTGGCTTCCTGTAGCTTGAGCCCATTCTTACGTGTCCTTCACTCTGGAATGCTCATGCATCCGAGGAAAAAAATAGTGAGAATGATTACCGCTTTCCTTGTGAAACATGCAGGGGGTGAGTTTTGGATCATGAGTGTCCGCTGGATTCATCCTGTGGATTTTGGGGACCTTTGCATATTGTCCCTTCTTAATCCTCTCCTGTCTCTAGCTAGGTTTGGCATGTTTTAAGGGCACCAACTGAAGTCTCTGGCCTTTGCTGGGCTTCCTGGGGACTCCAGGCAAGGAGACAGACCTGCAAGGTGAGCGCCACTGGAGAAGTTAATTTCTGGTGGGGGTGGGAAGGAGTGGTTTTAAAGCCTGGACACCCACTCCCAGCTGGTGGCAGTGCTAATTGTCTTGGTGCAAATGAGTTTATCTGTTTTCTGTGGATCCAAGTACAAGTGGTGCCTCGCTAGACGATGATAATCCGTTCCACTGAAATAGCAGTTTAGTGAAATAATTGTCTAGTGAAAAGCATTTCCCCACTGGAATGCATTGAAACCTGTTTAATGTGTTACAATGGGGAAGAATCCTCATTGTCTAGCGAAGATCGGCCATGGGAAAACCGCTTTGCGAACCGCAGATCAGCTGTTTAAACAGCTGTCTTGCGAGGCTTAGGTCCCAAAAACACCTGTTTTGCGAGCACGGAGGAAGCCGTCAAAATCATCTAGCGAAAATCGGTTTGCGAAGTAGGGACCAAACATTGTCCAGCGAAATTCCCCCATAGGAATCACTGTTTTGCGAATCGCTATAGCGATCGCAAAAAGTCAATGTCTAGCGAAAAAACTGTCATGAGGATAGCTATCTAGCGAGGCACCACTGTAGTTTGACCAGCCCTGCTCATCTGTTTTTCTCCTTACACTCCTGGCTTGTGGGTTCATCACTTCAGAGCAAGACCACGAAGCCAGGCGGCAGCCGGGGTGCAAAAACCCTTGACTGCCCCCGTCTCTGTGACGAAATCACAAGGACCCCACCCCACTGAGCTCACGGGGTCGATCCAGCAAAGCTGATAATAGCTGCTTAACCAGCTCTCTCTCTCACTCCTCCGCGGCCCACTTCCAGTACACAGTAGCTTTAAGAAACGGTGGGGCAAAGCAGAGTAAAGGAGGTGAATCTCCGGCTCCAGCCGGACTCTCTAAATATTGACTCATCCAAGGTTAAGGCCAAAGTCTACCGAAAAATTCGAAAACCTCCCCCCCCCACCCCCAGGGCTTATTCCTGGGAATTGTGAATCAAAACACACACACACACGTGTCCTGGGTTGCCCAGAAAACAAGCGCAGGGCTAGGATCTGATCCAGCGAGAGGGGGGGGGGCAGAAGGACTCTCCCATGATTTCGAGGTAAGGGGAAAGCACTTGTTTTAGGGAATGAACAAGGCCCGCTTCATCCCACATCTCTTCTCCCACAAAGGTTCCACTGAGTATTTCCAGGAGAACCTGGAAGGAACAGCTTTCCCTTGCATTACAAGGCTGGGGTATACTGCCTTGGGACATGGAGGTTCTACTTTGCCAGCATGACAAAGGCCGGCTCCAGAGGTTGGGAAGACTGAGTGTTTGCCGAGAGCCCCGACCGCTGCAGGAGGTGCCCTGGCCTCCTAAAAGGGGTAACTTGGCTCCAGAGGTTGGGAAGACTGTTTGCCGAGAGCCCCGACTGCTGCAGCAGGTGCCCTGGCCTCCTAAAAGGGGTAACTATTTCTGTTTAGCACAAAATGTCCATTGGGGTTCTGATATGACCCATAAGAATTCTCCTGTTTGCCTGGCGCACCTCATTTGATTTATGGGAGGCGCTCGGAGGGCGTCGTTCTCCAGAGGCTGTGCCTCCAGCTAAGCTTTGGAAAGTTTATTCTTTTTCTTGAACTACCACGTCCAGGCATCCCCTACAGCTGGAAAAGTGACTTTTAATCAGACGGTTAATTGCTAGCTGTCCATTTAACTTCTTTTCTCTTACCATAAAGTGGTTGAAGGTTGACTCGTGGGGAAAAAAGGGTCGCAGGAGTCCGATCTTGACCTCGTAGCCAGTTTGTGGCATGTGTGAATGAATGAAGCCACAGTTGTCGTGTGATCACACCGGGAAAAAGGTTCTTTTAACACAGTTGTTCCCAGCCTTGGGTCCCCAGATGTTCATGGACTACAACTCCCAGAAGCCTTTGCCACTCGTTCTGCCAGCCAGGATTTCTGGGAGTTGCAGTCCAAGAACATCTGGGGACCCAGGGTTGGGAACCACTGTTTTAACAGGAGCAATCTCCCTTAAAGGGACAGTTGCATCTGCTGGGGGGGGTCCTTTCAGCCCAGCCCCCCCCCAAAATAGCAGCCCTAAGAGCTGGATCACAAATGCTAGAGCATATTTCTCTGTGCATTGTGTGATCGCCGGGAAATAGATCACACTGGACCGCCTCACAAACCGTCCAAATTGTGATCCGTTTCCCCACGTGTTCCACACCCCGACTTTCTCTAGAAAGGCCAAAGCTTTGCCACTTCCTCGTCAAGGGAACACTTTGAGCCTTAACGGTCCGCTGTTGAGAAGCCAAGAGTTGAACTTGCTCTTGTTACAGGATCAGCTCCTTCTCCCCCCCCCGGGCGTCCCTTGGTCACATGAATCTCACAGGGGAAGCCATGCGGAGCAGCACGTCTCCGACGGTGGGCAGTGCCAACGCTGGGCATGGCCGGGTCCTTTCAGCTGGCCTGGGAAAGAAAGGAGCGACTCAGCCATTCATGGGACTTGAAAAGAGAACGGAGACAAGGAGGGGTTGGAATAGAGTTCCACAGGCTGCTGGTTGTGTGGATGGGTGGGTGGGTGTGCATGGGGAGCCACAGAAGCCAGGTCAGAGAAGGAGGGGGGGAAAAAACAGAAGCTGCTTTTTCCCTTCCTGTGCAGTTGTTGTGCACACGTTTCCCCTTAACTGTGACAGCGAAATGGAACCAGAAAATCAACCGGCCCTACCTTGGGGGGAAAGGGGGACAACAGCCTCAGACAGCAGATACCGGAGAGGCGGCAACAAAGGCCCCCCTATGTCATCTGCCAGCCCACTTCTGCACATGGAGTGGAAAGGGCCGAGGTACCGTCTTAACTTTCGCTCAACGCTGCGCAATGTCTTAGGTCAGCTCTTGGCCGTAAATTGAAATCCGCTTTTGAGCCAATCTGCATGATGGGCATTGTAATGCAAGACATCTAGAGGCCGCCAGGTTGGGGAAGGCTGCTTTCAAATTAGGCACCGTAAGGTAAAGCTTCCCCTTGACAATTTGTCGAGTCGTGTCCGACTCTAGGGGGCGGTGCTCATCTCCGTTTCCAAGCCGTAGAGCCAGCGTTTTGTCCGCAGACAATCCTCCGTGGTCACGTGGCCAGCATGACTAGACACGGAACGCAGTTTACCTCCCTACTGAGGTGGCACCTATTTATCTACTCGCATTTTTGCATTTTGCAGGCTTTCGAATTGCTAGGTTGGCGGGAGCTGGGACAAGCGACGGGGGCTCACTCCTTTGCGTGGATTTGATCTTACGACTGCAGGTCTTCTGACCTTGCAGCACGGAGGCTTCAGCGGTTTAACCCACAGCGCCACCACTGAAAGCAAGACACCAGGGTAGAGAAATCTTTAATCTGCTTCAGCAAAAGTTCCTTTTTGTATTCTGACGGGCCAGGAATTGAAAAACCTTTCTTGCCAGCGTTGCTGCAGCACACCTCAATTTCCCTCCCCACCAACTCTGATCAGTTTTAATGGCTGGAATTAACGGCGGGTTGTGGGGCTCACCGATCCGTCCTTGCTTAATTTGTCAACCGATAAAACAATGGCTTTTTGGGCTTCAGAAAAGATGCACAGATGTCTGGATGTTTTCTGCTGCGGAGCTAATAGCCGGTTCATGAGAGGCAGAGATTGGAAGGGTTTAAATTCAGGAAATCGCACAAGAAAACTCTTTTAAAACATTCTTCTGTGTAGTGATTGCTCCAATCAAATTCATAGCCACCTGTGGCTCCTTTTTCGGAGAAAGTGAAATCTTTGGACAAATGATCACTGCTCTTTTGCATGTCAGAATGCACACTTAGAAACCCAAAAGACCAGTTTTTAACAGAATTCTTTTCTACCCATTGTCTCCTTTCCTCGCCCCACCCTGGACTAATTTCAGATTGTAAGCTCCTGGGGGCAGAGCATTTTCTTTTCCTGTTGGGGCTTTGTCCATAACTGACAAGGTTAGGCAGAGGAAAAACATTACATTTGGGGAGGGATCCCTAGCAGATAATTCATCCTCTCCTCCTGCTTTACCTTGGAGGCAGATCTTTATGGGTATCAATACCAGTAGCAATATTCTTTATAATAAATCGCCACCACGTAAAGGAAAAGTGGACAGAGCATTCCCACTAAAACTGTCCAAGTTCGTAAGACTTCCTTCTGGAAAAGCCTCCAACTGCAGACGTGGAAAGGGGTGGGATCCTTATGCTTTAGCTCCCTGCCCCGGATCAAATGCAAAGGAAGGAAAGGAAATGTAAAAATATATACGTAGATATATAGATATGCAGGGAGGTGGGTTGGGAAACTGGAGAGGGGTCCCCCTCAAAGGAGAGGCCATTAAATTAAAAGAGGCATGGGACAACGGGGTGGGGGAGAGGCGACCACTTTCAGGCTTTAAATATGCATAGAACTTTTCTCGACCTCTTGAGAATTTGCGGGGCGGCCTTCCTGGGAGTGTGGTAAAGTCTCAGCTTGCCTCCCAGAGACGTAAATCCCAACTGGCGGAGGGCTGACGCGAAACATGCTGTGCGTCCCATTTCCTGGCAGCCGCCGGCATCTCCTCAACGGATCCGTGTGCTTCGTTCCCGGCAGCGAAAGGTCACCGCCGGTCCGACATTGAAGTCCTGTTCGGATTCCCGAATGGGTTATGGTGGTATTTTGGTTCTCCTTTTAGTGGCTCGGTGGTGGAGGTTCACACATCTGCGTCGGGAAGAGGCCAAGACATCACGGTTTTAGATTCTTGGTTTACGCTTGAGGGGTTGCAGAGGTACTGTTTTCGACTACAGCTCCTAGAAACCCCCCACCCCAGCTGGCATGGGAGTTGTAGTCCAAAAAGACCTGCCCTCCCAAGTTGAAAAGGTGCAGAGGAATTTTCTGTATGAGGAACATCTTTACACTATTTTGTGAACCTCACGTCCTCAGCTTAGTGGGAGTCATGAACGCAAAAAAAGCAAAATGGTGCTGCTTATATACTGCCCCATAGTGCCTAAAGCACCCTCTGGTCAGTTTATCAGTGGTGCCTTGCTAGACGATGATAATCCATTCCACTGAAATCGCTGTCTAGCGAAATTATTGTCTGGCGAAAAGCAAATCGTCATCTAGCGAAAATCAGTTTGCGAAGCAGGGACCAAACATTGTCCAGCGAAATTCCCCCATAGGAATCACTGTTTTGCGAATC